AGGTTTGATAATATTTCTTGTGTAAACCATATATCAAGTCTAGATTACATCACCAAGCTTGTTTATATACTTTATTCCTATATATGGAACATTTGGTCAAGTTCTTTTAGTCTTCCCCAAGTACCTGCTTAAATAACCATTTGCTTAAATGCTTTAAATGAACAATGTTTTACTTTCATTAAACCACTGCATTATAATTCTTAGAATAATGTTCTAGCTCTGCTCATTACCTTCACTGTGTTCACACATCAAACACATTGTAGTCCTCAAACTTTTAACTTAAAATATTTTTTTTATTTTTAAAGTGAATATTCGTGACAAATCTGTTATAAAAATCTAGCTCCATTCATTATTGTAAAAGAAGGTTTTGACTTCTTGTCTGTCTGTCATATCTCTGCTCTTCAGTGGCAAAATTAGCATTTTTATTGCAGGGATCTGAAATATTATTGGTGTCATAGTTCTGAAAATTAGCCCTTCACCCCTGCATTACCTTTCAAGTCACAAGACTAATTACCATCCTCTGCACCTTGTACATTAGTATCACCTCCAGGAGTGTTGGATGGGCGGGGGATCTCGGGTAAAGTCTGCTGATTTTTATCCCTCTGTCAATCATTTGCCGGAGTTTTATCACAGCTCCCAATTCACTGTTTATTGTATAGTGTTTGTGTGTTTGATTTCAGTGTAGCTTGGGATGAAAGGTGCAGGTTCATGTACTTTGGTTAAATAACACTTGTTGCAACTAAATCTGCCAGCTGGAACACAATCCTTTATTGCATTTGAATAGTCGAACTCTGCCCATAAATAATTTTTCAGCAACATCTTTTTTTTTTTTTTTTTTCCTCTGTTCTATATTTTCTTGTCTACATATTCCAGCTTATAATCATGTGATAAAAGGACGGTCAATGAAAAGCTGAAAGATTTAAAATAGAAATAGACACTATAGCATTATTTCTGCCCTTTTTTTTAATAGACAAATCTGGTTATTCCTAAATCTGAAAATTGGCCTTGTAATTGCAAAGTTTGTTTAACCCCTTAAGGACACAACTTCTGGAATAAAAGGGAATCATGACGGAATATTTCCATCATGTGTCTTTAAGGGGTTAATTAGATGAGCTGGAGAAAACTCAGATTTATTTATTTATTTTTCCTATTTTGCTGTTATAACCGAACATTTGCTATTCACAATTTAATGAATAACTTATGTTTATTTTATTTATTTTTTTGCCTATCCTCCTTGAGAACTCATTTAACGTTTGGTGCTCACATCTTGGCAATTTGCCATCTGAATTCATGCTTTCCAAACTAAATTATCCAAATCATGCCTTCAGACTCAAGTGTATAATGCCTCCTTTGCTATTATCAAAGAGCATTCATTAGATAGTGGGAGCCCCACTCCTATTCAGGATTTACTGCTAAATATGTGGCAATTCGCACTGGTGTGTGAAGCTATTTCAGCAAGCAGTAACTACTTTTCAGCAGAGGCTGTTCTTTTATTAACCCCTTAAGGACACATGCCATGTGTGACATGTCATGATTCCCTTTTATTCCAGAAGTTTGGTCCTTAAGGGGTTAACCTTCTACAGTTCTTGTCAACATTATACTTCACTATTAGACAGTAGCCATGTGCTGCTAATAATTTTTTTTTTTTTTTTGTCACTTGTCCGTTATCTCCTCCCCAAAAAAAGATATTTAACTATGCAAAAAAAAAAGCCCAAAACATATACATTCTTTCTGTCACACAGTGAAGAAAGAATATTTCATGTATGCTAAACAACGTGTCAAATGTTTTATTTCTAATTTCCCCCTTGTGAATACTGCTAGGCCAGCATAGTGGTAAAGGCTACAAATATAGAATATGAGTGGCTGAGATCAAAGTAATCTGGCGACTCTGATTTTAGGATTTGTGAAGTGACATTAATTTTTTTTTTTTGTCTTTTTTTTTACATTGAATCTTTGTCTTTTTCCAGACATTGTAAGAGAATCTTTTGCTGCATATCTTTTAATCCGTTAATTTGCTGGTGATTTTGCAGTGGACCTTGTATAGATTAAAGTTAATGAAGATGGCATTGTTGTCCACAACATAAGCATTTGTCAGATTCTCTTTAAGGAGATTCTATTGCAGTGATTCTGAAATCAATCACTGCCACACTGATGTGAGTTTACATCTATGCCTCCCTTCTATAAACTGTAAATGCTGCGGTTGGCAAGCAATGTCTGTGAAAAGACGTTTATGGTGAATGTTAAGGGCCATAACAACCTGTATTTCTTGGATAATTTAGACTGCTATTTTAGGCACTGCATGCTTTAGGCACAGATTTTCAAACATTTTAACAGTGTTGAGCCCACCCCTTTTTTTTCGGGTTCATCAAAGAGGCTGTCTGTACTTTCCCTCTGCCCATACAAAATTTTGTATGGCACTTTCCCACAAGGAGGGCATGTATTCTATTAAAATACCACCTCCTTCATCCAATCTTGCGCAGTTCGTTTCATAAAACTTTTGCCCTAAGCTGTTAAATCTCCATTCTTTTTAGTTAAAGGGTTACTCCAAGCTTCAGAACCACTACAGCCTGCTCTAGTGGTTATAATGCTTTGAGTACTCTGACACTGTTCTTAGTAGGTGGAGGGGCACACCCAGGTCCTGATGGGGCACTATGCCCTCCTTATTGGCAGCTGAACCACACCAGGCTTCTGTGGAGCTGCAGTAACAGAGTGCTGATGCTGTCTATCATGCATTCATTGATCCAGCTTTTTAGAGCCAAATACACATATGTGTAACATTTGGAAAATGTAATTGTAATTGACCATTTTTCAGCAAAAGCTTTACCTTTTAACTTCTATACCAGTGGTAGTCAACCTTTTTCCACTTACTGCCCACTAATGCATCTTTCTTGATGGAAAAATTTCCTTACCGCCCACCAAGCAAGCGCGGAATATTTTTATAGAAAGGAGGTTGTTAAAAAAAAAAAAATGTACGTACATTTATCTTTTTATTTCTACTTTATGCATGTTTATAATGTTTTTAACTTTATAAAGTTTAATGAGGAAGCAATAAAGTAGATTGAAATTACATTTACTAGTGATTAATGAGATACTTGAGGCTGATGCTGCGAGACTAAATATTTGATATCTGTTTCGATTTTCGTAAGGAACAAACAAAGGTCTCCTCTTTCGGTGATAATCAGAAGACTTCTTTGTTTGCTCATAAAATGATTTCTCATCTGTGCGTCAGCTCCCCTCCTCTCCCTCTTCAATTCCCCTCCCCACCTTTTTTCCCCTTTTTTCTATTTTTTAACCTTACTTATAGCAATGCCCAGTAGGAAGGCTGAGCTAGGTAGCCCACTTACTATTATTAGTCAACAACAATTCTCTCCTTTTCCTTTTCTTTCCTTCTCCTTTTTTACAAGTACTCTACTCCTTCTTTCTCCTATTCTAGAAGTACTCTACTCCTTCTTTCTCCTATTCTACGAGTACTCTGCACCTTCTTTCTTCTATTCTACAAGTACTCTGCTCACAGACACACACACACACACATACACTTACAGACACACACTCACATAGAAACACATGCACACAAATATACACATACTCACACATGCACTTAGACACTCACACATATACAGACTCACACATACACACACTCACACATACACACTCACACACACACTCACACACACACTCACACAGACTCACACACACACAGACTCACACACACACAGACTCACACACACACAGACTCACACACACACAGACTCACACACACACACACACACACACACACACACACACACACACACACACACACACACACACACACACACACACACACACACACGTTGGTCAGACTTCCACGCACAGACTCACACGCACACAGACTCACACGCACACAGACTCACACTCACACACAGACTCACACGCACACAGACTCACACGCACACAGACTCACACGCATTGTACTCACACGCGACACAGACTCCTGGCCACTTTACTACAGGACGCATACATACTACAGACTCCCACGGCACACACACAGACTCTCTCACACAGACTCTCACAAGACACACACACAGACACACACAGACCCCCCTCAGCACACACACACACAGACTCTCACACACACACAGACTCTCACAAGACACATGGACTCCACACACACACAGACTCGCACACACACACACAGACTCCTCGCGACACACATTGGCCACAGACTCTCATGACACACACACACAGACTCTACACACACACACAGACTCTCACACACACAGACTCTCGCACACACACACACACACACACACACAGACTCTCGCACACACACACACACACACACACACAGACTCTGCACACACACACACACACACAGACTGCACACACACACACACACACACACACATACAGACTCTCGCACACACACACACAGACACACACACACACACATACAGACTCACACACACACTCAGACTCTCGCACACACATTATTAATATTAAATGTCCACCCAGCCTCCCTACCTGGAGAGCTGGTGTGGATCTGTCCCTGGGGTCCAGTGGGGCTTCACTTCGGCGGGCGGCTAATCAGACGCGGCGAGGGAGCTCTAACCTCTCTGCTCTGCTCCCTCGCGGACTGTCTACTGATGCCGGAGCCAGAATATGATGTCATATTCCGGCTCCCGCGGCATCAGCAAACATCGCGCGAGGGAGCAGAGCAGAGAGGTTAGAGCTCCCTCGCCGCGACTGATTAGAACTCTGCCATGCCGGGGGGTCCAGAAGGTGGCCTGGCAGGAGGGAGCGCTTCCTCCTGCCGGTCACTGAAGACTTGCGCATGCAGAGCCGCTCGCGCCCGCCCAAAAGGAGAAATCCTCTTAAAAAGAGGATTTAGCCTCCGAAATCTCTACCGCCCACCTGGAATCCTGAAACGCCCACTAGTGGGCGGTAGGGACCAGGTTGACGACCCATGTGCTATACAATCAGATTGACTACAGCTACCAACGAACGGTCACATATGTGTTGACTGTATGGGATGTAATTAGGAGGCAACTGCTAAGTGTAGAAAACATGAATGGATATATAGGCCTTCCAGCGTCTTGTGTTGGGAACACACTTAACAAGTTTATCTACCCTTCTCAATCAGCCACACACCCACATGTGAGTTAGCATCTAAAGCTCCATTCTCAAAACTGGAGCGGTCAGCAGCCATTGTAAAAGCACTTTTAATGGGTACTGCAATAACTTACATCCCTTGCATGGGGGCTAACCTGTGATTGGCTCCTAGTACTATGTATTTATTTCCTTTTACAATGGCAGTGATTTTTCAAAATGTGCACCATTTGTGAGCCCACCACCTTGTTCACATTTGTTAGTGGTAGTCTTTACTACCCTAAAAAAGATCTGTTGTATTGCCTGTTCCAACAAGGAGGATGGGTGTACAGAACTATTAAATTCCAGGACCCTCCTTTAAAAAAAAAACACACAAAAAACCAAAGCTAACATTCGGGCCTGGTAAAATGTCAGAGCCTCACTTTTTTAAATAATAATCTATACCAATTGTAAGTGTTTAAGTACAGTAAGAAGAACGTGGGTACCTCTCGCCTTATATCCACGCTTAAAAATCCAAATAGAGGACAAAGTTGTATAACATTTGGAAAATGTAATTCGTCATCTTTCAAAAAAGCATTGTCTGTTACCTGCTGTACATTGAAGTTGACCACAACAACCGCTGGAAGGTCCGTGTGCTAGATGTGTGAGCTGTAATTTGGAGGTGAAAATAAATTGGATTGAAAAACGGAAGTGGGAATGAGTGATATTTGTACATTCTTCCTGTCTCATTCATAATATTCCTTTTGAAAGTGTGATGGGGAAAAAAAAGAAAATGAACATCAATGTATAATCTGTATCCAAAAATGCAGCTCTTACATAATGCTGATTATAATGAGAGGCACTTTGATCACACAAGAATTAGGGAGACCTCCTAAACACCCCTAAAGCATTTCAGCAAGCTTAGTTCTTGTGTAGTAGCAGAAGGGGTTCCTTATAGTTCTTAACACATCTGAACCTTGTCATACCATTTGCAACGATTAAAATGATTTATATAGGGAAAACATATTCCCCAGCACTGTACAACAGGTAAAACAAGATGAGCTATTATAACAAAACATAGTTCATATACAGGTACAGTAGGTAAAGTGGGCCTTGCCTAAATAAGCTTAAAAAAAAACAATAGTTTTGAGAAACAAATTTTAATTTATAATTTACTGAATAAAATGTATTTTTATTTAAAGCATTTCAAGCATAATACTTTTATACACACTGCATGATCTTAATGTAACAAAATTAATTTCAATTAGTAAGACTACCGTGCATGCATACACTCCCACACACCTGTGAATTTTACATTCAGACAATGAATGCCTACACTGACATTCAACTACTCCTACCAAAGAATCAGGGCTCCTGTAAGTTTCAAATAATCATTTTTGCTAGTTTGTTTACTAGTACATGCTTACTGCTTCCTTTCTGCCTCTTCCTCCTAAGCCTGGAGTGTCCAATAACACGGTTGTCATCAGGAAGCACAACAAAGCACAGATAAAACATTCAAAGTAGTAGAGGATGTCAGTAGAGGGCTCCCAGAGTGGAATTGTTCTGTCTGTTCTGGTGGAACCAGGATTAAACATGCTGCCTGACAGTGCATGGAATTTCTTTGACGATCTCCTTAGCTTTTGACATGAATGAAATGATGCTTGAACTTGCAGTGACATCTCTGTTTGTTTTGGCAACTTGAGGCAACTTAGACTTTGCTCTTTCCCACGTGTTTTTTTTGTTTTTGTTTTTGTTTTCCCCTAAAGTTATTCTCAATTTGAATTTAATTTTGTAACTCCTAACCCATTGTCGTTTTGTTTTAGTTTTGTTTTAGTTTTGTTTTTGAATGTTTCTTTCATTTGGTAAAGATAGAATCTACATGATATGCTCTTATTGACTGCAAAACAGTCAAAAGATATGACAAAGCAAGGACCACTTTTTCTTATGGTAAAGTTAAGGTTGACAAAACCTGATACAAGGCATAGCTTCTGCCATCACGTTTTATCAGTTCACAGTGACGGCTGTGGGAATCCTGCATTGTCTAGCTCGGGGGTAGGCAACTTTTTAGTAGTACTGTGCCAAAACAAAATATCTTAAAGTCCCTTGGCGTGCCGGCCCACATGTTCTAAATTCAAGTGTGTATTTTGCCGTATTCTGCTTATTTGTGGGTACTGCATTGCTTTGTAACATTATATTTGTGCGCATGTAGACTGTTATATATTATATGTTCATTAGTAATTTGTGGTATTTTGTATGATACCTATGAATGTAGACAGTGTATGGGGGCTGCATGTGGAATTGTGTGTGTGTGTGTGTGAGATATGGCACAGTGTGTTCGTTGGTGTGTATGTTTGGGGCTGCTTGTGGTATTGCATGTGATAGACTGCTTGTGGAATTTGTGGGGACTGTGTGCATTTGTAGCCGGTCAGTGTTATTTGTATGACGGAGGTGGTAGCTGCAGATAACTTGATCTACAGTTTTTGTAAGCCAATATTTCATGTGTGCAGAACTCCGTGCATAATGCAGGTGGGTCATGAAGATTGGTTTGGGAATCACTGGTATAAGGTATTCCTAAGCCTATTTTACCCTTATTTTGCTTATTTCTGCAATTATTCACACTCAACATCTACTTTAGAAAGAGACCGGATAGATATCAAAGGCTCCTTTATACTACTGCCGATTCCCTCATACCTTGTTTCCGCTACGTCATAGCGCTATTTTCTCTCTGTGTAGGTAACCTATTTGCTTGCATATGAGAGTACTGGAATTGCTTACACCTTCCCCTCAGTCCAGGTCTAAGTTTGTATTCTAGTTTTACCTTCTTCAAAAAAGATATTGATGGAAACATGTGCAAGAACTTTTTTTAATTGATCAAAATAACATACTGATGATACTAGATACATGGGCACACAGCCTCTGCCCCCTTATCTCAGAACTGTAAAGCACGCAGCAAGGTTTTATTATGAGACATGCACAAATAGTTCTCTACACAGTGTCTCATGCATATGGAAACAGGAAAAAAGGAAAATAAAACCAATGACAGTTGCCATTCATGGGTGTTTGGCAATAAATATATATTTTGAAATGTTGTCCTGGGATTCTGACTGTGTAGATACACCGTATTTATATTTCACTGAAACTAGTTTGTCTGATCTCAGTCTGGATGTGTTACGGTATATATCATGGCATATCATTAGTACTGAGTGTAATTCTTTTTTACTTTTCCCCTCTTCCTCCATCAAACTTTTGTGTTCTTTAGTGTCCCGATGGGAAACGTCTGGAAGGATTGTCCAAACAGTTAGACTGGGATGCTCGCAAAATACAGAGATGGTTCAGGCACAGGCGGAATCAGGATAAACCAAGTACACTAACAAAGTTTTGTGAGAGCATGTAAGTATAATAGATATATTTTTCAATTTATTAAGCTGCATTATAATCCTGATACGGAATGAGAATGGCTGCATATTTACAATTAAACTGAGCTTGTTGTCTTAGAAATGGCTTAAAACAACACATTTTATCTTGAATCTAAAGGTGAGGTGGTCTCTATGCCCCATTCTGCCCATAGGAGATCATCATTAGTGAGGTTCTCCAGGCCAATCCAATCATTCTCATAGAATCAGCACCCTCTGGAGATGTATTTTGTCTAGAGCTATTAAACTTCTACTGTGAGTCCTGTTCAAAGTGAGGCAGAGCACCCTCCTGCCTGATTGCAACTTAGAATTCACCACTTTTATGAAATAAGACAAAGTGCTTTAAGGGCTTGGAGTGTTTCTTTAAAGTATGTTTGGTTAAAGGTCTGATGAACTGAACCTCGTCACGGTGCTTGGAGGGGCCTGCTGGCCAACCTCTTGCCAAAAGACTATGGGCCCTCTAAAAAAAACTATGTGAACAGACTTGGTTCGTGGGATTTTATATTTGGTTCGGGAACCAAACAGCCGCACGAATCGGAGCCACCCTGGAGCTTGTTAGGCTTGATTGCAACTTTGCAGCAATTTTCACCGCAGTGTTCCAAGTGTTCGTCTGGGTGGCCGCAATTCCTATGGACGACCACGAGGTGGCGGCCATCTTGTTCGCATGAAAGCAGGCAGCGGTGTTTAGGCATGAATCTCATGGAACTGAAAACGGACACAGAAACTCCCAAAACACCACTGGACTTCAAGCATCACTTGCGTGCCGTTCTACAATACTTAGAAAGGCGCTGTGTGGTGGAAACGTTCCCATGAACAAGGGGAACAAGCTCCAGGGTAAGAACATTGACTCTGTTAGGTAATTTGTTCGTTTTTTTTAATTACCAAACTAGACCGACTGCAAGCCCTGCTTCTCTGGAACTGTTTTGGGCATGGGACTATGCATGCCGTCAGTCAAATTATGACTTCCAGGAAATTCCTGAACTGATCTGGGTTTTTTTTTGGATATGTTGGTCACCCAGATCAGGGCTATCAGTGAATGTAACTCTTGTAGGGATTTTGTGTGTGTTTAAGGTATTTTGGGGTGTTATAAAAATTTGTTTTCTGTGCCTGGAGATAATCTCGTTTAATATAGTGCTTGACTCAATTATTTCCCAGGCACATGGGAAGGATTGACCTATTTTGTATGGGAGTGTCCTGCACCTGAGAGCCAATGTAATTGTGTAGATGGTTTTTACTGTAGTCTACTCTCTCCTTGCATGGGGACTTGCATATAAGGCCAGTTGTGGCTGCCAATAAACAGATTCATTTTACCCTTCATAAAGTCTAGGCTAATTTTTGGGGAGTTGGAGAGCTATATTCACTCTGAGGATTGCTATAATCTCTATACTCCCTTGGATCACAAAGATTCCTCTTGTAAGAGCAGCCTGTTTCGCATTTTGGTCCAATGCCCAAAACAGTTCCAGAGAAGGGCTGTGCAGTCTGTCTACTCCGGGGATTCGAAGTGTAATAAAAATACCGAACATAGAGAGTTCGTATGGCACTTAGTCTATGTCTTTCCTTCAGCGTTTATTCTTACCGAACGCTGTTCAACTCCCGTTCGAATAGCCGAACATCTGTGGAAGGTAAATGGTTCAGTGTTCGTGCCATTGAGTGTCCGATTTGAGTTCCATGAACTCAACGACCAAACACCACTCATTGTACTTGCGGCTCAAGATGGCCGCCGTCACGAGTTCGAATGCCGCTTCGAACCACTTTGACCGTTCGGGAGTTTGAAGTGTTCCTGGTATAAGTCCAAAAGGACACAAAACGTATTTTCAACCAGGGTTTAACACCGGGTCCATAGTAACAGGGCAGGAGGCTGGCAAACCGGCCCCTCCAAAAACCAGTGGCGAGGTTACTTTCGCCACTCAACCCTCTTCTGTGCGTACAGTTCACCTTACCGCTTTTAACTAAAAGAAAGAAAATCTCTATATCTAATGGAGTATTTTTATGAAACATTAGAGTGAACCTGTTATGGCAAATATTATATTTCTTTGAACTTGATTTGGTTGCAAGTGAGACATTCGCTTTGTTCTTCAGTGGCTTTTAGTAGTTAAGTATTTACTTACCTTTCATCCCTCTCTGCCACAATCTCACCGTGGCCAACTCTCTGTTCCTGGTTGAGATCCTCATTACTTATCTCAGGAAATCCAGTGTTTCTCCTAAGAGAAGCAACAGAGAACCTACTGTGCATGGATGGCAGAGGAGGAAGTATATCAATAATGGGTATTCATAGCTACTTGACTAGTGATGGATTAGCCATGTTGGAGCCAAGATATCACATGATTGCCAGTAGCAGCTTCAGGTTAGCAAATTCCACCTGATGCACACTATATTCCAATTTTTAAACCCTCTGAGCTACTTGCAGAGAAGTGTGTTTTTTGTTTTTTTTTCTTTTCTTTTGTTTTTTAATGGAATTGGAAGCAGTCAATCAGAGCTGCTTGTTTTTCTACCTTCTCTCCTAAGTTTTCAGCATTCTACTAAACAGAAATGTGGTGCTTAAAGGACCACTCCGCACTTATACTCTAAATGTAATTCATTGTTTAGTTGATATACCCCTGTTGAATACATGCACTCCTTGGAGGTATATTTTAAAGGAGGTTGCAAAATCTGCATTTCTTATGGACTGCAGCCTCTGCCACCACTCCCCTTGTTCCTCGGAAGAGTCTATCTGAGGTTTCCCATCAAGGAGTGCTGAAGAGAATGTATGTTTTTGCTTTTTTAATGTTTTCATTTATTTTATAGGTGCAGACAGGGAGGCCCTAAAACAGACTTAAGGACATTAAGAATGTAGTGTTAGGAAGAGATTATTCCTAACGCTCCCTTTAATCTGCACTTAGGAGAGGGTTAGGAAGTCCAGCTTAGCTGCTAATTTTGCATTTATATATGTACCTATGCTGTTGGTAGTTACAAAAGTATGTTATGGTGCAGACAACATGTTTGCTAGAGCCATTGTAAGCTTTAATGTAGCAATAAAAACTGTACACATATTTCTCTAGAGCACAATGAGACTTCCCCTTTAACAGTTTGAGAACGTGTTTAAAAAAAAAAATAACAAAACCCTAACATTTCAGGAAAAATGCCAGTATTTTGTAATGATCAACCATGCAACACCTTTTTTTTGTTTGTTTGTTTTTTGTTTTTTTTTTTGTTTGGTATCCGCAGTGTCATGATAAAAACTGTCCTGCCTTAGCAGTAGCTTTGAAGATGTTAAAGGGCTGTTAAATCGCATTTCCCTTTTACATTTGTAACCCACAAAACTTTTTGTCAATATGTGACTCCCCCACCCCCTTGACAGTAATTTTTCTGCAAGTGACTATATACATCGTAGGGTGTGGGTATGTGTGTGGAATTCCGTATTCGGAGAGAAATAAAACCAAGAAATCAATAGAAAGTATGAAAAAGCATTACTCTGCATTATTTTGTAGTGAATACAAATAAGTTAATACCTCTTTATATTGCATCTCCTGGCTTACCCTTGCTCTTTGATGACATTAGCACCACTTGCACAATAGGGCTATAGATAGCTGTTCCCCATACATCGATCAAGGCCAGGATTTGCGTAGAAATGCGGTTATATTATGTGTGATTTCTTTAATTAACATAAAGACCATTTTCCTTTAAATGCAGTTAACGGAAAGTATCCACGCCATTTAAATGAGAATCATAGTCTACTTTTTTGGCATTCGCGTTAAAGCTTTAATTTACAGAATCATGTTGGGAAAAGGATTGATTCGTTTTGGAATTAAAGGATGATTTTAAGATTTATGGTTTTATTAAAAATGCCTTTGCCACCAAAAGCCCTAAACCTCTGACATGGCCCTATTTTGAAGGCTATCGAAACCTTCTAAATGTGGAACTCCACACAACGTGGCGGCATATATCACTACTGTATTTCTTTAGGTAAACTTATTTTAAGTAAGAATATGAATATATATATATAATATAATATATAAATCCTTACATTATGGAATTTCCCTTTTAACCCAATTGAAGCCTAAATAACATCTGCATCATTACCCTGAAACAGCTCCTCTCTTTCTTGCCCTATGATGCTAGACTTATCTTTCCCCCATTGCATTGCTAACTTCTTTCTCTTTTCCTATCTCTAGGTGGAGGTTTACTTTTTACCTGTATATCTTTTCCTATGGAGTACGGTTTCTTTGGTCGGTAAGTTGGAACGAGTCTCCTAGCAGATACCTATTTTTCCAACACTCCACGTTAAGCTTAGATGAAAGAAGCTTGCATTAGCCTGTTAATGTGTTTTCATAGGGTCTGTGATGGTTCGTTTTGCAAAACGAATGCCAAATGGCAGGTTACGCAACTTCCTATCCTAATTTTAAGCGCTGCATCATCGTTGGCCATTTTGAATAGCCGCCTTTTGTACTTTATCCTGTATCAGTGACAGTGATGATGACCAGGATTTGTATAGGTTATGTTTGTATACATTTTGACCAGGCTGCAGACCTGAATAGCCAGAGCCTCCTGTATTATTCTGGTGCAGGCACAGTTTGAAATAATTGTCCTTATTGATCACTAGACACTGTATTTTAAGCGTATCATTTGAGCCTTAGACATATTGTAATCCCCTGTATGACCAGTTAGAGCATTAGTACCATCACTTTTTTTGAACTCGGAAACTCTGGTTCGAATCCTGGTCAAACCACCTTTAGAATACGTGTCAGTGGGCAAAACCTCTAATATCCTCCCTAATTTACATCCTCATAGAGTGTCAGCTTGTTTGAGCAGAGCCGCCTTTTCGTTTTAAATATTCCCCTTCTATAATTGTAAAGCGCTGTGAAATAGGTTTGCAATATATAAATAATAGCACCTTTCTTCACAGCTATAAAATTTAGTCGTGAGACTGAAGGGCAGTGTTTTGGCTATACTTTCCTGAGATGCCATGTTTGTTAATTCACAGAAACTCGTTGCTTGTTAAGATAAGGAAATTCTGCCTTTAGCCATGCACAACGCTAAAAATGTCTTACTCATGGCTGCATTCCTCCTATCTTGCACATATAAATGTTAGTGCAAGTATATTAGGACTCTGGGGGAGGGGGGAGATGTTTGAAAGTAATGGGAAAATGGATTTGTATAAAGTATAATTTTGCCCTCTTGATAAAAGGAGACAGCAGAACATTATACAAATTATACTCTGGGGGGAGATCATTTCATATACAGGAAGGAGCATGTGAGTAGTCCTGGTATCGTAGAGTAGATATCTAGTCTTTGAAATCTAAGCTGACATTAGTGGTCGAAGAGCATGGTAACCCATCAGATTAAAGGCAAGACACTCTCTCAGATAAGGCCCCAAGTTGTGCATTGTTTTCATGTGATCCATTAGAGTACTAGAATGGAATTTATGTAATATACGCATAGTGTAAACTGCCATAGTAAAAAGTAGAAAACTGCTCTATTTAAAGGGCATGCCTATAGTTCTGACATGTTGAGATAAACGTGCCCTCCTTGGACCCTTAGGCAACAGTAACTTAATATAACAGCTGAAACCTGAGCCCACGTATCGAAATTGCTGTAAAAAATGACCGTGAGATGACAAACCGTTGACACGGCAACAGTCCTAATTCGTTAAGGCTATCGATTAATTTCAGCTATATCTTTCTCTTACACTGCCTTCCAGATGAATTCTAAAAACCTGTATTTGAGCATATAGAATGGTTTTATTTTTTAACTATTTCCTGGTACATTTAAAGGGATAATGCATTTAAAAGAAAGCGGACTCTGAAGCAGAATCCAGTGTACAAGGGAAGTGCTTTAATTTCTCAGCAAGTACTAGTTCTCCCTTACAAACATTTTAGGGAGTGCTGTACGAATTCCCCTACTCGCAACCAATATCAGCAGGGACCTGTTTAGTACGGAGTCTTCCAAGTCATATTGCTGTTGGCAGGCCAGTCGCACAGATAACCCCTAACAACACTCTGTAAATGTACAGTATATAGAAGGTAGGCACAGTCTACCAGTTCAGTGTTCATTGTTTTACAATCTCCAATTGTTTGAAGAAAATATTTTAATGTTTTTGAAAACTTGAAAATGTACATCGTCATCTAATGGTTTGCATTTATTTTTATTTTTTTCTCCTTTGTTTTGTTTGTTATGAATGCAAGATCATTTGGGACATCTGCTTTATAGAATTGCATTACTGCAGGGTAGATCAGATGATTTTAGAAATACATTATATAAAGCCCAGTGTTTTAAATAACACTAGTTATTTGTTAATATTTTTTTGTTGTTGTTGTTAATGTATTTTTCTTTGCAGACTCCCTGGTTTTGGGATACACGACAGTGTTGGTACAACTATCCTTACCAGGTAGTGTATTCTAAGTTATCTGTTATCTGGAAACCACTGCCGGCCTATCGGTCACATTGAATAGTTTGGCATTTAATGGGTGTATATGCTCCAAATGTATAGTTAAAATAATCTCTTCCCTCACAGGTGTAAACTGCATTGCATTCCTTTTCTATTTGCTCTCTTTATACTTATTTGGTTACCTACATAGATGTATTATAGAATAAATTACTATATTGCAAAGTATATTTCTTGTTGTACATTCGGCCAAAACTCTGGCTTTTTTTATAAGGCAGGTATGGCCGGGCAGTTCCCCGCTTCCTTCTGTAACTTCTTGTGTAGAGAATTTTTTTGTTTCCCCTCTCTTTTTTACACAAAAGCATTAGTGTGGTAAGGAGCTCAGTAGATGAAATTGTACATTTTTTAATTTAAAATAAAAGCTTGCATGTGTTTTAGCCTGTGTGTGTGTTCTGTAATGCATACAAACAGTAAGTTAATACATATTTCAGAGCATCTCCTAGCTAGCTTATCCTTGGTTCATAGGCGCAGCCATCTTCACATCTTCCTTGGTCAAGAGCACTAATTTAAGAGACACTCCACTGCCCAAATACAAAGTAAATAAAAATAATTGTTTAGAGATATACCCCAAATTAAAACATGCATGCATTTAATTATGCAGTTTTTCATTGGAGTTCTATCTAAAACAGCTTGCAAAACTGCAGCTTTTTTGCCGGCTGCCTTTGCAAGCACTCTCCTTCTAACACCACTAAGACTTGTTGTGGCTGTCCAATCACAGGCTTCCCAATGCAGTTCAATGAGAAGTCTTTGAAGGCGGGTGCTCTGGGCAATCGCTGCCTCTAGAGTTCAATGCAACTAAACTAAGCAAACCAGGACGTAACCGGGCCTGTTGTCTGCTTGAAAAACTTGAAATCTGCACTTTTGCCAAAATTAAGAAATAAAGGAAAAAAAAGAGGACAAATTCTTCACACATTAAACTTTTCAGCAAGCTAAAGTGCTTTAGATAACATGCTGCCGACAACATGACAGCTACTGTGTATTAGCAAATCCTGATGTCATAGACAAGTTCTCTGAACTCTTTTCCCCTTTCCAAACTGCACATAGTTTTGGAAGACACATGTATAATTTATAAAACAAAAATTACTAATCGTTAAAGAGAGGTCCCAAATTAAGCAAGTGCTGTACCTGCCATACTATGTTTCTACTAGTTAAAAAAAAAAAAAAATAATTTTTTAAAAGCACTGTTGCCAAGTGCCACAATGTGGTTAAATATTTACCGCTCCAGAGAGAGCTGTTGTGTTTTGACAGTGAAGATGGGGTAATATTTGAGTGTATTGATTTACAAAGTGCTGTACATTTGTTAATTGTCATTGTTAGGAAGCATAAATAAACTGCATTTGAGCAGCCTTTTAGCTTCTGTTAAACTGCCCGAGTTTAAATTACAGATGTAGGGATACAGCGTGATAAAGCGTTATCATTGCCGTTTTGCTCCGTGAATCTTTTTTAGTTATTTAATGGTTATTTATGACTTTCCCCCTTTTAAGTAGCAGTGTGACTTTCCTATTTAAAAGAAGCTTGTTACTCAAGACAAAGCCTCTATGGTGTAATGATTGCTAGAAATGAAATTTCTAATTATTCAGTAGCATAGTTCATTCTTTTTTTTCTAATTTTTAACTTGTTCATTAATTGGTTAAATGTCAAGCTAAAATAGCTTAATTGGAAACCCTCTCCTGCTTAGCTGCTTTCACAATTATTTGACCCATATTGTTTCTTCACTATTTAGTATGTAAGCCTCCAGTGGTTCTGTTTTGTTACATTGGTTTCTTATTGCACCTGCCCAGTGCTTCCTTGATAAATCACGTGTTGCTTCTGGGAGAATGAGTTGTGGAGAACTATCTCAAGTGCATTTTATTTTATTTTCAGCCGCTCACTTCGGGGGTATACTACTATTATATTACAGAACTGGCCTTTTATTGGTCCCTGATGTTCTCGCAGTTTACAGATATCAAACGCAAGGTAAGGATGACATCATGATATAGGGACTTTTTTTTATGAATAATTGTGTAGTACATTGTTTAAGTACTGAATGTCTAATACAATGGAGTTAACCAATTGTGATATTAGGAAGTGGTACACAGGGCACCTTGACCTGTTAGAGGTTACTCTAATGTATTTTGGGATGTTTTGATGGATAAAATAAAAATCCTGACCAGGCTCTGTTAAAAGGTGAAAATACGTATGCATTCTCCATGATTTAGCAGCAGAAACCACTTCCGTTGTGAAATTGCTGTGACTCGTGCATCAGGGAACACTAGGAATTATCTCTAGCACCAGAACATGTAGAGAAAGTTTAGTTCCTGTGCTGGAAACCTGTTGTGAAGAGCAGGAAACAAGTGCATTTGGAAGCAGTAGAATAGCACATTATGAAGAGAGGGTGTGAGTGACCTAAGGAATTGGAAGTGACTGACCAAGCCCACCGGCCATTGTAAGGGACTATTGAAACGGTCAACTTGCTTAGTGGACCTAACCGTACACACTCTGTGACAGGCCTGTTTTAATTCATAAAGGGTACAGTGGTACCATGAGCATGTATTTAGATATTTCCTTATTTACAAATCTGCATAGCAGCTATTGCTTTGCATTTTCTTTCCTGTAGGTTAAGAAATCCATAATAATCAGTACTATTACATGTTGACAAATGTAACCATTGCAATACGCTGTTTCCAACTTTGAATTTGTCATGTGTTTTTCAGATGTTTTTTTTTTCTCCTTGTGAATTAGGAACATACATTATCAATACTTAGTGCAGTTTCCTTTGGAAAAGCATTCCAGGCATTTTGTAATAGAGTGTAGACATTCACGTTGAGTGTTGTAGTCTAGGGAGCTGTGGGCGTGCACTGCCAAAGTGAAATAGCTCTTTAATTGCTAGACAGTTGTCTTTGGAAAGCAAATTGCTTTCTGGGTTAACATTTGAACGTGATCCTATAGACAGTGCGCATCTTTGTTTAAAAAAAAAAAAAAGGCTTGGCGGCTTTAAAACTCTGAGAATGTATGAATTATTTTAATTATGAACAGATCCAGTGTCCTATTTGTTACCACTGCCACTATGTAGAGAGTTTTATTAATAACTTTAATAGTCTTGCTTTATAAAAAGCAATCACAACAAATGTAATAAAAATATAAATCAAATTTACCGTGAGATTGTTTTTGTTGGGGGGAGGGGATATTTGGCTCCTATTTCATATATACTTTGGTAGGTAACTTAAAAATGTATCTGCTCGTGATAAGCAAGTCAAGCTCTTTCCACTCAATAAATGTATCAATTTTATGGAAAGAAAATAATTTCTATATAATATTTATATAGTATATAGTATTTGAGTGGGAGAGTGCAGTCCCTTCTTGCTGAATAAAAAAAAAAAACTTGTGTTTTTCGGACTCGTTGAGTACAGCAACCAAAGCTGTTAAATCTTTGTGGTAAAACGAGTATGATGCTCTTTATGCTGATGTTCATCGAATAGCACAATTCCTGCTTTCAAAACCCACATTTTCTACTGCATCAAGTCATTAATTTCATGGAATCCTGTTTCTAAATTATTAGCTTTGGCTCTTCCCTACACAGCTTTTAACACAATTAGCGGTAATTTATTATTATTTTTTGTAATAACAATCTTGCTAATAGCATATTTTTTCTTTGATTTTCATGGCATGAATGTGTTTTCTTAATTTGCTTTAACCCTTGACGGAGGCATTTATCCAACTTCTGAAATCAAAACAAAATCTTGAATTTCACCATGTAATTTTATTTCTTTTAAAAAGGGCAGATAGGGCTTTCATTTATTATTCAATATGTATACCTAACACAATCTGTGAACAAAATGGGAAAATAAACTTTTTTTTCTTAACATTTTTATTATTTTTACACATCCAGTGCAACTAAAAAAAAACTGAAAATAGACATTAATATATCATTTTTGATTGTTAAATGCCTAATATGTCTATTATCTAAGTTATCGTTTAGTAGTTAATGCTGACAAACTTCCACACTAATACTATACCCACCATAATCCTTATCCAATGCTTACATCAACTTCAACTCTATATCTACCCTAATCTTACCCTTACTCGACACTATCCCTATCCCTAAAACTGTATTAAAGGAACACTATAGTCACCTAAACAACTTTGGCTTAATGAAGCAGTGTTAGTGTATAAATCATGCCTCTCAGGTTTTACTACTCAATTCACTGTCATTTAGGAGTTAAATCACTTTGTTTCTGTTTATGTTGCCCTTGTCACACCTCCACTGGCTATGATTGACACAGCCTGCATAAAAAAAAAAAAAAAAAAAACTGGTTTAACTTGCAATCATATGTAATTTACCTTAAACAATGTTATCTCTTGCTCTGTAAATTGAACTTTAATCACATACTGGAGGCTCTTGCTGGGTCTAGCAAGCTATTAACATAGCAGGGGATAATAAAATCTAAATTAAACAATACTTGCAATAAAGAGAGGATAAACTTTAGATGACTCTTTACAGGAAGTGTTTAGGAAGGCTGTGAACATCACATGCAGAGAGGTGTGACTAGGGCTGTGTACACAGTGATTTAACTTCTAAATGGCACAGAATTGAGCAGTAAGGCTGCAGGGACATGATCTATACAACAAAACAGCTTCATTAAGCTAAAGTTATTTTGGTGACTAGTGTCCCTTTAAGCATGTCATACTTGCAGTTGTGTTTAAAAAAAACAAGTTTGTCAGATGGAAAAAAAAAAGGTGATGAGAGCCTTGCTCAAGAGTTTGCTGTTAATGCACCATGTAGATGTTTATGGTCTGTTGGTTAATGTAAAGTTGTTTTTAAGTGGATGACTTGTTGTTGGATATCTGAGATTCCACATGATGTTTTTCAGTAACTGAAAGCAAAGCCATTTTTCTGTTAATGCCACTTCATAGATGTCTAATGGATGTGCAAATTGAAATGGGATTTCCCCAGCTGCCTGAGAGCATTTTCACAATAATGATATTTTAATAGGTGTAACCTGTGGCTGCTCTTTGCTTTGTACATAGATTTTATACAAGAGAGTTTTTGATTAAAGTGAATCAGTTATGTACACATTCTGTGGATAACAAGTGTAACCCATACACATGCTGGTAATTTTGATGTGACCGTGTACAGATTATAGGATATATTTGCCAAGTTTTCATCCTGTTAAATTTCTTCATGCACTGGTTTGGAAATAGAAGCTGCGCATGTTACACCCTACCTTCAAATGGCATTCATTGTTTACCACAATTCTTAGTGTGCAGATTATATGCGTGGTTACATAAGGTACAACTGTGTCATTTGATAATGGAGCATTAGTTTGTTGCGCCATTGGATCTCCTGTGGTGTTTTTTGAACACCACCACCTCTCTGCTGAGGTTTCATGGAGTATGTGTTTATATTTTGAGGTAAAATGATAGTCCAGGCACTCAAGTAGATAGCAGAGCAGCAGCTTTTTGGGGGCAAACACACAGCAATGTTTCAAGCTGACAAAGACCCGGTTGGGTCTAAACGTTGCTGTGTGTTTGCCCCAATAAAGCTGCTGCTCTGCTATTTACTGGAGTTCCTGGACCGTCGCTTCACTTTTTATATTCCATGTGGAGTCTCGTCTGCCCCTGATCCGGTGCACCGTGGTAGCCTGGTAAGTGTGGTATCCTCCAATCTACTATCATTTATATTTTGGGGTATCTTTGGATGTATACTAATCCATCATGATGATACTTGCTGTCCCATTCTTACACAAAGGATTCTGTCTCATTCCATTCCAGGCTTAGCCGATGGCTACCACCAAACCATGGGTGATAAATAAATATTCCATGTTAATGGAGATCAGCAATGTGCCAAGCCTATAAAGAATGAATGGTTCCCCAACCCAATACTCACATGTGTGTACTTCTTCATCTATATTTTTGAGCTTGTGAAATTCCTTATTCCACTGCTGCTTACACTACACAGCCACCTTACACGGTAACTTGTAACCTGATCCTCGGAAACGCTGTAGTTAAGCAAAAGCAGAAAGGACATAAAAAATTGCCTGTCTGTGGTATATCTTTCAATTTCCAAGGAGTTTAATCAGAAAACACTACAGCTGCTTTCATGTGGGTAAAGAAGGTATTTTAACCTGGCAGTGTTTGGTGGAGTAATAATTAATAACCAGCATTGTGTGTGCAGTTATTTGTTCACTGCAATGTCTGTGCTGTCTGGTAGTGCATGCAATGCATGTGCAAAGTCTGCAATGCTCAAATGGAAGACAGAGATGGTGAATGCTGGATTACAATCACAAAACCTGATTTTAGTTCATTACCTCTTGCTTTTTTGTCTTGTATGGCATCATCATATTCACGGTAAAATGGTACAAAGCAATTATTGACAAATTTGGTTTAATAGTGTTCTGAAGTGACAAGGACCTGCTCTCACAGTAGCTTGCCGTTTAGAAACAGAGCAGTCTCCTTTTAAATCACCGGCTTTGCCCACTATTAATCTCTAACCAGTAATGCCTGTGTTTTTGTTTGGGACAAGTAGATAGAGGACTTTTAAGATACATTTTGCGAATTCAAGTTGTTAATGTCCATGATCTGATTTGTTTGTTTCGCTGTTCGTATGTGTTTTAATCCTAATTCAGTGTGTAGTTATAGGTAGGTTTTAATAATAATAGCAGTGAAACATTGATTTAGATTTTTTTTTTTTTTTTTTAAAGTGAAGTAAAAAAATAAAAGCCTTCTGTAAGCACACTATTACAGTGAATTGACTGAGAGGTCCCGGAAAGAGAGGTCTATGTACAACTGTATTTCATGCACTTTTTTTTTTTTTTTTTTTAACTAATAAAAGCTTAATGGGCAACCAGCTATCTCAACACGCTATGTACCTAAGTAATTGCTTCCAGTAAGTATTCTCTTCTAACAAATATTGTAGGATGACCGGATGATGATGAGTCTGTAGCTGGCTTTGTGCAGTTTGGGAACCAGTAAGCCGGCGGGAATATCTGTTTCTACAGGAGCTATAAGGGTAGATCTCCAGCTTTAAAAAAGTGAACCTTTTTTTAATTTGAAGGTGAAAAAAAATCTATCTACAGATGGTACGCGCACCTCTGAATCTTTCCTTTAAGATGTCTCTAGGGCTACCCGGTTCTTAGTTTGAAGCTTCCTTCTTTGCTCCACAGACTCGCCCTTAAAGAAGTCATATCGGTTAACTGTTAGCTTTTCATCCCTACACCTAAACCACTTTCAACACTGCAACTGAAAAAATAAACTAAGCCTTCTTTGTAAACCCTTCTAGCAACCTATTTTTCCATTACATGAAATACATCCGACTCTAACCTGTTGTGTAATTTTACCTCACTCCACTTAGAATGCAGGCTTGTTTGAGCAGGGCTCTCGGCACTTGTTTCTGTACTCCCAACTTGTCTTGTTGCAACTACTTGTTAGTCTGTTCTACAGCACTGTGGAATTTGTTGGCACTTTATAAAAAAATTGTTATATTATGTCTCTTACAAACCATTCACCTGTTACCCACCACAGTAACCACAATACAGGTACTGTATTTGCTGCAATTGCTCATTTATCAATTGCATATCATGCTTTGCTAAAGGAGTATAGAAATAGTGACCGGTTTCAATTTGTTTATTTACCCATCTGCTGGCGAGGAAGTCAACGTGTCTGTATTCTGGTAGAGGCTTGCACTGCTACTGAAGTGTGTCCAGTCAGAGACCGTTACGTAGAACAGAGGAATGGTGTGTGGGGTAACTGTTGGTGTAACATCGAACCTGAGATCAGTCTAATGCTGGAGGAGATGGTAATATTTAGTTAACATCTCCTTAACCCAGGGCTTGACAAATTTGCTTGAAATCTAGGAGCCAGCTAAAAAAAGATAGGAGACAGATTTTTATTTTTTTTTTTAAACGTCAAAAATAGAATTCTTAAAGGGACACTATAGTTAACAGAACCACTACAGCTTAAAGGACCACTCTAGGCACCCAGACCACTTCAGCTTAATGAAGTGGTCTGGGTGCCAGGTCCAGCTAGGGTTAAACCCATAAACATAGCAGTTTCAGAGAAACTGCTATGTTTATAAATGGGTTAATCCAGCCTCCAAATCCTCTAGTGGCTGTCTCATTGACACCCGCTAGAGGCGCTTGCGTGCTTCTCACTGTGAAAATCAGTGAGAACACGCAAGCGTCCATAGGAAAGCATTATAAATGCTTTCCTATGAGACTGGCTGAATGCACGCGCAGCCAGTCGAAAGGGAGGAGAGTTCCCCGTCTGGCGCGGTAAAAATAAGTTTTTTTTGGGGGGGGTCCCAAGAGCCGGGCGGGAGGGAGTCCCTGAGGGTGGGGGCACCCTCAGGGCACTATAGTGCCAGGAAAACGAGTATGTTTTCCTGGCACTATAGTGGTCCTTTAATGTAGTTGTTCTGAAGTCTATATACTGTCCCTGCACGCTTTTCAATGTAGACCCTGACTTTTCAGACTAAAGGTATGGTTTACATTGCGGTCTGGTAACACCTCTAGTGACAGTCAATCTGACAACCTCTAGAAGTGCTTCCCGGGTCACATTAATGCTCCCCATAGGGATGTATTGATTCAATGCATCTCTGAGGAGAAGTTGATTGCGCAGCATGGTGTTTTGCCGCACATGCGCAGTGGTCTGCCAATGTTTTTCTATGGAGAAGCATTGGATTGGCTGAGATCATCTAAATTGATGATCTCAGCCATGGAAGTGAGGCCAGCCACGGTGTCACCAGCACGGTGTTGGAAAAGGGGTGAGTAAAAACACATTTACCTTGTTGTTTTGTTTTTATTTTATTTTTTGTGGGCAGGTCACCCAAACAAACACTCACTGACAGACACACTGATTTGATACGCACACCAACTAACAGACACACACACACTCACTGACATACACACACACACACACATATACTCACTCACTGACATACACACAAATATACTTACTCACTCACTGACATACACACACATATACTCACTCACTGACATACACACACACACATATACTCACTCACTCACTGACATACACACACACATACTCACTCCCTGACATACACACTCACTTGCAAATCATAACTTTTATAATTTTAAATCCACCCAGCCTCCCTACCTTTGAGAAAGCTGGAGTGGATTAGCTTTTCCTGGGGATCCAGTGGGGCTGCTGTGATCTCCCTCATGCGCCCTCCGGTGATGCGGGGCCGGAATGACGTCACTGGAGGGCGTGTGAGAGAGCAGAACAGGGAGATTACATTACTCCCTCACAGCCACACTCATTCAGACGCCCGCTGCCTGCCTCCCTCCCTCCCTCCGCTCTCAATGAGCAGACCACCTGCCTGCCTGTTAGCCTCAACCCTTCGTGAGCTGATCCAACGCCTGGGATTTGTCGAGCCCTGCCTTAACCAATTAAATATTGAATGTTATAAATGATATATTTCTTGCTCTAGTAGATGTTTATAAGTTAAAGTGAATCTGTACTCATCCATGATGGCATCAATCATTTTGGTGGACACGTGCTGACCAAGGTTCATAGGAGTGTACACAACACAAGAGATACTTATTGTCTACCCTGCTCTACTGGGAGCTGTGTAAAAACAAAAAAAAAACCAAACAGAATTGAATTGGATGCTGGAATGTATCCATAGTTTCGTGCAGTGCCATAAATCAATCTTGCAGAAGTGGTTTAACCAATGGTTCACGTGTCAATAGCCCAGGTTTTATAGATATCCTTGTTTATGGACCATTGGTGATAATGTTGGAGGAGCGCAGATGTAAATACTGCACTAAAAACAAGCTAGTGATGACCACAGTGCTAACAGTCTTTTTTGTTTGTTTTTTTTGTCCAACCCCCGTGCCTCCCTCCTCTCCACGCAATCCCCTGTACTTATTTTATTCTATATCCCTGTACTTATTATATTCTATATTGCACAGATAACTGTAGGTTGTGAGTAAACATGCTCAAAGTAGTTTGTTTACAAACTGGTTGTGTCTGATGAAGGGAAAACACAAATCCCTTTGGGAATTTAACCCAGATGATGGAAAAGACCTGCTGTACATAGGTAAATTGGCTGTTAGATTTCCCTGAGCTTTATAGATAGGAGCAGCTGTGAACACTGAGTAAAAATATTTATTTTTAATGTTTTCCTTTTAGTTTTGATTACTGGAAAGTTCAGACCCCTTTGTGTGTTTTTAAAAGGAAAACAAAAATAAACCCGTATAAATCCTAAATGAAATCCAGCGTCTACCATGGTGAGATACTCGTGATAATCTCAGATTCCACCAGAGGCTTCTCAGAGAGGCATTGTGGACCTAAATGCAGTCGTCGTCCTCCACAATAAAGAGCCTTTTGTACTGGTCTACTGTATGTATGTAGTCTTACAAAATGTTGTAATTCCTGTCCACTACGTGTTTATGGGAAATGTATCTGAGCCCTCAGCCACAGTTCCATTCATCAGATTTGACCTGCTAAATGAGTGAATAGCAACCTTAATATAGCTCAGATCAGTTTATTTACAGACCCAATTTGTTTCAGTCACCCATTTGATGGTATGTGCATGCAGCTGCAACTGGGAGTCTATCTATGGAGCAGACGACTTGCTGTTTTTAAACAGCGCACATATTTATATAGCCAAAGAAGAAATAGTTTCCTAATCAGAGGTCTGACAGAAAGTGGCAGGCTTATATGTGTACTTTTGGCAAACCACTTCAGTTATATGCAGCTATATATGACAGGGACTGGGTAGCTCTCTGTACCATTATCTATGTAAGGAATATGTTACCATGGCCAAACTACACAGATAATACAAATAAGGGAGACTGCAAAAGGGGGAAACCAGGACCACAGTCTAATACTTTTAAAGGGACACTATAGTCATCTGAACAACTTTAGCTTAATGAAGCAGTTTTGTTGTATAGAACATGTCCCTGCAGCCTCACTGCTCAATCCTCTGCCATTTAGGAGTGAAATCCATTTGTTTATGAACCCTAGTCACACCTCCCTGCATGTGACTTGCACAGCCTTCCATAAACACTTCCTGTAAAGAGAGCCCTATTTAGGCTTTCTTTATTGCAAGTTCTGTTTAATTAAGATTTTCTTATCCCCTGCTATGTTAATAGCTTGCTAGACCCTGCAAGAGCCTCCTGTATGTGATTAAAGTTCAATTTAGAGATTGAGATACAATTATTTAAGGTAAATTACATCTGTTTGAAAGTGAAACCAGTTTTTTTTTCAGGCAGGCTCTGTCAATCATAGCCAGGGGAGGTGTGGCTAGGGCTGCATAAACAGAAACAAAGTGATTTAACTCCTATATGACAGTGAAATTGCAGGGGAATGATCTATACACTAAAACTACTTTATTTAGCTAAAGTAATTTGGGTGACTATAGTGTTCCTTTAATTGCTGAGTGACTTCCTATTTACTTGAGAGCTACCTGCAGACGCTGCAATTATTGACGTTTTGCAGCAAACGCAGTACACTTTATTTTTAAGTTTGTGGTTTCTGTATATTTTTAATAAAGCTGGAAAAAAGAGTGGATAATTGCATCCTGGAGTATCGCTAAAAGACTGACAAGCTAAAATGCAGGGACAATGAGTATTTATAAATTAACTTGTGCATACAGATAGCAGTCGCTAATAAAGTGGGGGATACAAGGTCAGAAAGTGTATAGACGAACACTACTATGTTCTCACATTGATTAATGTAGTATAAGGCTAATAAGTAGGTGGCTGCATGTCAATAATTGTAGTAATGAAGGGATGTACAGCTCCTACTAATCAGGTGGCTGCATGTCAATCATTGTAGTAGTGAAGGGATGGCCCACTAACCAGTACCACTGTTTTTTTTTTTTTTTGCCAGCGGCAAAGAGGTGTAAGCTAAAATCTTAATTTACGAATACAGTTTTATCAAGGTGTTCTATGAAATTGCATGGCACCATAGTCCTTCCCCAGAAAATAAAAACCAGGTCTTATATTAATCCCCCCGGGGAAACCGGGTAGTATACACTTTCTCCGTTAACATCAAGCTTGTGTTTTTTGTTCGTTGTTCCCCGGTTGGGATCCATCAGTATATTGCAATGTAAGTTTTACTTTGTCAGAAAGCAAACGGCTTAACTACAAATCAAGCAGAATTCATGACTTTGTATGCATCGATATTTTGGAGAGAATATGGAGAACACTGGAGGAGCAAGGGGGAGAAAAACAGTAGGCTCACAGAGCAAACAAAATCCAATTCGTAAAACAACCCTTAACCTAACCTACATATTGAACCTAACATGTTGGTGTCTGTATTGCTCTTTTAATGCTTTATTCTTCTTGCTCACCTGTTAGTGAGACAATTACTGAACTTAACTGGGATCTAACTGAAATAATTATATTTGATTAAAAGTGTTATCACAGTGCTAGCAAACTAACATTAGTGTTTCGTTGTTTTTTTTAGGATTTTCTTATAATGTTTATTCACCATTTGGCCACAGTTGGCCTCATCTCCTTTTCTTATGTCAATAATATGGTGCGTGTTGGTACACTGGTCATGTGCCTGCATGATGCCTCAGATTTCTTGTTAGAGGTGAGTCCGCTTCCCATTACAGCCATTTACAAAAAACACAGTTTGAATTTCACTATTTACTTTTCCTTTTTGTTTCCCCAGTATGTATTGTCTTGTGCTATCATGACTTTGTACTCCATTCTCTACATCTATTCTTTGAACGTTTGTGTTTTGTTCTTTCAGTGCGCTTTTTGTTTCAATGTAAACCATTTAACCTAGAGACATAACTGTAGAACAAAGTGCTTTGGGAACAGAAATAATTATAAAGCAGTTATCACGGAATGCTGATGTCTAATTATCTGTATAAAGTGTCCAATATGGGCCTTTTAATGGTAGTTTCCCTATTTGCAGCATTACTGAAATAATATATGCAAGCACTTGCTAAATCTCCCAGGTCCAAACTGCTGCACCCTTTCACTGCTTTCTGTAATTACTTTTACTGTGAATATGGCTTTCTTTCTAAAGACTTTGTTTTTTTGTTTTTTTCCCTTTTAATACTCATGTTTTTTTAAAGGCTGCAAAACTGACAAATTATGCAAAGTACCAGCGGATGTGTGATGCATTCTTCATGTTCTTTGCAATGGTGTTTGTTACCACACGGCTTGTCATTTATCCATTATGGTAAGACACACTAAAATGTTTCAGCACTTTGTACTTGATGTGTATATTTTCACATATTTGTTTTGATACTGCCTGTTACAAGAGATCTTTTTTGGTTTTAGGATCTTGAACACAACGTTGCTTGAGAGCTGGGAACTTATAGGACCATATCCCTCGTGGTGGCTGTTCAATGGTCTTCTTCTGGTTTTGCAAGTTCTTCATGTTATCTGGTCTTACCTCATCATCCGTATTGCATACAAGGCCATAATGCGGGGCAAGGTACGCTTTCTGGAGATGTTATGTATACATTCTGTGGATTTACCACAAGCTATGTGTAATAATGGGATTGAGTCTGACTGCTGGTCTTTCCTTCGATTTTTCTATTGGGTTATACTATGGCTTTTTCTTTTCTGACCCAAGTGAACTTGTTGAGGTAGGACTTTCAATGTCTTTGCACTCTGCACCTCACTTTCTCTCCCTCCTTTTCTCTGTGTCAGGTTGGAACTGGAAAATATCACCCTTTGCCTGTAAGTGTTTATCTGTGCTGCTTCCATCATTATGAACATCTTCCTTCTTGGTGCCCTTTCACCACTTGCATGTTCATTACCTTCATACGCTCAAATTCATCAATGCAGATAATACACCGTAATGGGTGGCCACCAAGGTTCCATAAAGGTTATTGTGATGTTTGAGACGTGCATCGCTGATGAATCTGGGCCTTTGACGCCATATGCTCTTTTATGCCTGATCTGCTCTAATGTTTGCGTACATATTCAAACCTGGCATCACACAACAGCCTTTCCCTTTTGAGGTGCTAAAAAATGTTCATTTGCCAACATCTCTGCTAGTAACCCTGTGGCATGGGGGAACCATTTTGGTCCTTTAATGACACTATGTAATAAGGTAGATCACTGGTACAGACTGCTGAATATGTGCTTTGCTATGAGCCATTTTAGTGCAATAAAGGCCAAGGTATGCTGTTGGGAAATATATAAGAAAATCTCTGTTCTGAACAGTAGAAAGCCATGTGTTCTAGAGCTGATTTCACATTTATAGCTATCCCATATTTTGTGCGGGATCCAGTGCCTTTTGCTGCATGGATGAATACAAAATATGAAAGAAAGCCAATGTTTGTACAATATCACAGGGGGTCAGGTGACTAGCTTTTTCCATATATCACCAGTTCTCTTTTACAGGAATTGTTTGTATTACTTTTAAAAAAATAAAAAAATTTGCAAAAGAGAAATGTGTGATATGGTTTAACCAAAAGCTCTAATCGATAGAACCGTGAACAATCTGGAAGAGTTGGGATAGAACCCATCTTGCTTTATTATGGTCATCTGAACTTGGGTTTCCAAGATATCTGATGATATTGGATATGTATTCTAAAATTTGAAGTATTTGGTGTATATCTGTTTCTAATCAGCAGCATTTCTTGCCTTGGGCACACATGCACTGTGCATCCCATTTTCTTGTCTTCTCCAGCAGATTGTGTTATCTTTATTAATGGCACCGTATAATCTATGCTGTTCGCTTAAAACATGTTTTGAGAAGTTAGCTGGTTAGTCTGCTTTGAGAATGTGCAAATGTTAAGCCTTGATGAGGTGATCTGTCAAGTGCTGACCTACTAGCCGGGCTTCAAAGTTACTCACCACCACAAATGTATGCAAAATCATCAAGTAAAAAATAGTAATATACTGGCGCTCTATAAAAAACTAAATTATCACACAATATGTGGCAATAATATTACATTAGCTGCTATATCACCATGTGTAATCTTTCCATATACACTAATCACAAACAAAAATAACAAAAGGTGAAGCGCTACATACAAATTGAAGTCCAATTCTTTAAGCTGTCACTCTTGTCGATCAATATTTCTCTGAGTGGTATGTGAATCTTATTCTAAAAAAGAAATTAGATACTCTTAGTGCAACACTGTAAAGAAATTATTATCGGCAATAATAACCCTATATATGGAACCACTCACAAATTACTGAGCTTACAGCCAAGCTCAGGGGTATGTGCCTTCAGGTCTGTAAAGGCGACCTTTCCCCTTCTTTTGTCTTCTTTTTTAGAATAAGATTCACATACCACTCAGAGAAATATTGATCGACAAGAGTGACAGCTTAAAGAATTGGACTTCAATTTGTATGTAGCGCTTCACCTTTTGTTATTTTTGTATGCAAAATCATAACAAAACTTTTATTTTATTTTTTTAGCAGAGTTTTGTTTACTGCATTAATAATGCATACACCATGCGATAGTGTGTGAATACAGAGCTGTGTTTTGTGGCTAGTCATTGGGTGTGTGTCTGCAGGGATATCTGTACATATGTGTGTAGTGTCAGTGTGTGAATGCATAAATCTATATGTTGATCTCCACCGTCATTCAAGCGTAAACACATAGATACACGAGCTGCTGATATAATTTGCTGGATTATTTGTCTTCCTTTGGAGCATTCGCTCCTGGTGTAGGATTAGGGGGATCTTGAAGTGCGGAGCGTCTGGCATCTATACTTCATCTGAGGGGTTGACGAGGTTGCCTGATGGAGCTCAGGTGGCGGTGGCCCTCCATACAATTTTGCATCTGGGCTTCCTCCTTTATTCATCTGCACTCCTTCCTTGCTTTTTCTTGCCTTGTCCTACTGCTCGCTTCCCCCTCTCCCTCCTCCTCCCATCTTCCTACCAGTTTTTTTTCTTTCTTTCTTTCTTTTCCATCCCTTTTCTCCTTTTCCATTTACCGGCTATAGAATATTACATATTCTATGTTTATATGTTCCTATTCAAATACATATTACGGTATGGATGTCTAATGAGTTAAAAAGAACAGATGGTAGTTTATGGTATTCTGTACCATGAGGACTCTGGAATGTGCTGTATTGTGAGATTGGGGGCAGGGTCCTTATACGGGTAATATCCTTGTATGGTCAGAGTTTAATTTAAGTTATGATGTAATTTTGCCAATAAAGAACAGGAGACAAAAGACCACGTTCTCTTCTCCTACTCTTCGCTTTTCTCTCAGGGTGTGTCCCTGACTTGCTGATACCAAGACGAATATATCAAAGATATATATATATATATATATCTATCTCTCTCTCTCTCTCTCTCTCTCTCTCTCTCTCTCTCTCTCTCTCTCTCATATAAATGCATATATTTTATAAAGAACGTCAGATTGCGTATTAGTAATTTTGGTTAATATAGACGTATATTAACATGGCGTGCCTTTAACCCAAGAAGATATCTACATAAAAGACTTATTTCAATTACCCTCGAAAACACAAATCAAGATATTACACTGGCTCTGGTGTAAGGTTTTTTTGTTTTTATCTAGGCAGATCTTCAACTGTTAGGTGGCACGTTGTCCCTTTGATTTCTGTTCTCCTCCAGGTCACCTTGTGATGCTAGCTAGCTGTGTGGTCCACTGAAATACAGTGCTTGATATTTTGTGTATTGCTTATTAGCAGTATGATGTCCAAATTATTATGATGAGGTTTGTTAGCACATTCTTTAGATTTAGTTTTGAGGATTTTGGTGGATTAATGTTTGTTCCAATTGCTTTGATCTGAATGTTACTTTTGTCTAAACCCCCCCCACCCCCCCCCCACCCCCACATATTTAACGTAAATTGTGTGTATAGACAGAGAGCAGCCTTCATAAGTGTTGGGCAGACTAGATGGGTCGAATGGTTATCATCTGCCGTCACATTCTATGTTTCTATGAAAGGGTTAATTCTGCTCTACTGTGAGGAGCAGCACTGGATAACGCAGCAAGTGTAGACCAGATAGAAGTGATTTGTAATGTCAAGAAGATGAAACCTAGAGCGGAAGTGTTGATAGCTGATGCACTGTTCCCTGTAAGGCAGAAAGTTTAGCTGGAACTCTTACAGACTTTAGGTGAAGCTCCCTCGCCAGGGCTCAATATCCACTCGCAACATTTTTCATACCTGTGCAACACCTTTCATTACAGTATCCAAAAGTAAACTTGTCAACTAGACTGTGCAGACAAGCTTGTCCAACATAAAGTGATCTGGATATTTTAGAATTGATTCTTAGATTAGCCATAACAAAATAGGTTTCAGGTTGGTAATGAATTAAATTGGCATTTATTTCATGTGAGAACCCTAGGTATAAGTAGAACTATGTGGATTGTTTCACCAAGAAAATGATAGGTAGTTTTTGTTTTTTTACTGCCATGTGGTAATTCTAATGGGAAAAGGTTAAGTTTTAAGTGGCATTTTTAACACTGAAAATCATCTCCTCTAGAAGCAGAAATACAGCACCGTGTAGCCTTTATGGACTCAAGCAGGGAGGGACATCAAAAGGATACTTAGGTGCCTCTATTAGAGTACTGCAATTTGTCATGTTTATTTTTTTAATGTGTTTACCTTTCTATCAGACGCTTTACATTTAAAGAGTCACTGTCACCCCCATTCCTCATAGGTATTTCATATTTTTATTAAAGGATCACTATAGTGTCAAGAAAACAAAGCGGTTTTCCTAACACTATAGTGCCCTCAGGGTCCCCCTCCTGTGGCGCTAAAGGGGTTAAAAACTCTTCAGCCACTTACTTTAATCCGGCGCTGGTGACCTCTCCTCTCCGTCCGACATCACTGGAGCCAAATGCGCAAGTGCCGCTCACGCATTCGAAGTTTCCATAGGAGAGCATTTCTCAATGCTTTCCTATGGACGCTCTGCGCGAGGGAGGCGAAATTGTGAAGGGTTAAAACCTGAGGGACCTGGCACCCAGACCACTTCATTGAGCTGAAGTAGTCTGGGTGACTGTAGTGTCCCTTTAAATACTCATTGACTGTGTTGGGATTTCAGTGAAATTCCAACACAGTCAAGAGATCTACTGAGGGGTAAATCTCCATAGACCTCAATGCTGTATTCTCAGCAGTGACTACTACTGGTTACAGAGGACCCGCCGGAAGAAGGCCTGTAGCCTGTCAATTCCGCCATTGAACCCCCAAATTCTGCAAAGTCTCCAGATGGTGTCAGTGCCGCTTTAACTGTAGATAACAAAAATCTAGTATTGAGGAATTCCAGCTTCACATGGGGCTGAGACTGTTCCTGCAAAATGTTTCTACTCCTGCATTGTAACTTTATAAAGGCCTTATTCATAGGAGTTCTCACAAGGACACAGTTTGACTTTTCATTAACCAGTTTCTCGTATTTCATTTTGATGTTTTATCAGTGCTGGTAGCTCAGTACATTATTTTTATATTCTAACCAGTCTAAATTCCTTACAGCACATGTTCATTATGAAACAAAACGGCCTATAGATAGAGAATGGATATGACCCAGGAAATCTATTTTTGTTTTCTTCTTAAACAAACACTTTGAACACCATAACCACTATAGCTTGCACCATAAACCCATGCAAAGGGTATTGGTGTTTATGGGGTTTGGAATAGCCATTTAATTCTTTCCTATGCAAACGTGTGCAATAAAATCTATTTAGCAGTCAGCTGGAAAAGTACAATGGATGCTTCTACTAAGCTCGTTTTTTTTCAGATTTTACCGGTTTTCCCATTCAAGGCTTCTGCATTTCTTTCAGTGTAATCTAAACCGTGCCAAAAGCTCAATTAGCTGAAAGGAACCTAAATTATGTGGACTTGCATTATGTGGTTCAATATTCTGTCATTCTATTAATTTACTACTGGCTGCTTGTGTGCATTTGGATTTGAGGTTTCTAACGTCTGTCTTACTGCTTGCCTTGACACGATTTTTGTTAACTTTTCTTTGTGTCTGAATTATTCTCTGCCTTAACCAAAAGAATAAAAATTTAAAAGGAAACAGGAAGTGTATTAAGTAGAGAAAACAGTAAATCACCCTGTGGAGCAGGATATCCTCCCACAATTCCAAACAGGTGTTCTATATAAATTGACTGCTTGGCATGCGTCAACTACAACAAGTTTTGCTTTTACTCTTGAAGGAATTTGTTTTATCTATGTTTTAGGGATATTGGTATAGAGCTGAGAGATGTTAGGAACATGTTAATAAATTGCCCATTTGTGGTACACGCATCCTGTATTTAATCATTACCTGTTTAATTTCAGAATGCGATGGTATGTGCTGCAAAGTGTTAATGTTCTGTGGGTACTTCTTTAATGAAATGTTGATATTGGTTATTTACCAGAGGCTCCAAATTATAGTCAATTAGAAAAACACTGAATAGCAGATTGTAGGCCAAAATAGCAGATCTGAAAACATTCTTAAACTCTACTAAAGTCACAGCTTGGCTAGTTTAGCCTCTGTTTGGCCAGTCATATTTTAATTTAATACAGCTTGGAGTTTACTGGATTATCCCTCAAAGGGTGAAAAAAAATCCATTACTGGTTGTATGCGGTTTAAAAATTTAACTCTAATAAAAGCCCATGTTAATTATTCCTCCTTGAATTTCACTGTTCCATTGTCACTGACACGTTTGTGCTTAAAAGGTAGGAAACCCTCTGATATAGGCCAGTAGCCTTATAGAAGCAGAGAGCTCTTATTAAAGCCGTGTAGGTGTGAGATAGTAGTATATAGATAGCGGTTTATAAACCTTCTTTATTGACTTGGATCACTATATCATTGAAACTCTTTGGCTAGGATCATGGGACCAAAGGTCCACAATATTCCAGTGTAATAAAGTATAAGAGAAATTGAACTTGGTAGATCAAAGGACATTTTCAGACCAGATCAATATCCTTTCTTAATCCCTAATAGTTTGTCTGGAATAAAGTCCATTGACTCTCCACGTGGCTGGCTGTTTTACACAGATTAAATGATACTGAAAAACGGGGCATTTATTTTTAGTGAGATTTGTACAATTCTTGGTGGTGAAGAAGGTAAGTGGGAGAGAAGCTGGAGTGCTGTTATAAGAGAACCCAGCCAGGTGTTGACAACAATAGCATGAAAAGGGACCATATTGCTTTAGAAGAAAGACAGACCAAGAGGAGCAGTGGGGGGAAACCCTCAGGATTAATGTGCAAACGTAATCAAGAGCCCAATTCTCATATATGGAAGATAAATTGAATGGTAAACACAATTGATGACTGTATCACAGAATTGCCCTAAGCCATTGTTAGGGAAATGAAATGGTAAAGGTTTGTTGCTTAAAATGGGAAAGCACCATGTGCTGATATCCAAGCTTTATTAAAAGCACTGTGCTTAGGGGCAACCAGTAGGTGACTGATTTTGGAACTCTAACTCTTCTAATTTTTCCTATAAAAATGTGGATAAGAATCAATTTGTGTAATTTGGCTGTTCTCTTAAAAACACATCAACAATTTATCTTTATTTTTTAGCAGAGCCTTATCTATAGCCCAGTTAACCCGTAAGATCTATTCCTCTAGTAAATACATTATTTAAACTGGCCTGTAATTCCACATCTCTGCGTACATATTTTAAGGGCTTCAGTCTTGTCGTTTTTTTTTGTTTTGTTTTTTTAAACACTTCTTCCTGCACACATTCTGTTAGATGTTTCTTGAATTTTGTGTAATGTTTTAATGCCCATTTGGACTCATCTACAGACTTACACTCAGTATTATGTTGAGGTTTTAATTTGATCTAAAAATGCTGTCACTTCTTTGGCAGTCTTAAATAAGGCTTCATTGCTTCTATTTAGCTCAATCTGCAGGTGAACCTTCTCTTGTAGGAGTTTAGAGTGTGATGGAACGTTATAGAGAATAAATGTACATTGTACACCAGTTCATTAGTAATTAGCATGCTATCAGGATCCAGGGGCTGCAGGGACTCAATCATTTACTTGAATGTCTTCAAGTCAAAGCCTACAGTTAACCACTAAATCCATTTTAAGATTAATTTGATATACATATTTTTTTGGCAGGTATTGAAAGACGATCGAAGTGATGTAGAAAGCAGTTCAGAAGACGAAGATGCTGCATTAAATGGCACTAAAGCAATCCACAACATGTCCAGCAATGGAGCAAACCGGGTGAATGGCCATGCAGCAAGTGGCCAGTGGGTGGAAGAATGAGTCTATAGATGAACCTCCAGGAGATGAGCGAATGTGTCCTCACAAAACCAGTCCTGAACTCTTTTTAGACCCAGACACCCCTGGAGGGTGAAGCACTTGGTTACGTTGCATTGGGTGAATGTGAGATTTTATCCCAGTCTGTACTTGATTTTTTTGCTCCACTGAGTATGGATTAAGATTCTGTTCCGGGTCAGAACCAAATGTCTTTCCGATGCCATCTGCCCTCCGTGCACGCACTGCAAACTTGACCTTTCTGATAAACCTGCACATCGCAATAGACTGTGCATCAACAATCCTTCACATGGCTCACCCATTCTGCAAAAATGACTGCTGTGTGCTATAGCAGAGGCAGGGAGATTGAGATGGATACTAGCAGAGTCTGGTAACCATGCAATGTTTGTTGTTGCTAGCAGCTCACCGGGCCATCATCAGATCTTTGTGTTCAGTGTGAATGAAGAAAGTCAATACAGAAACGGGCCCGGATGTTCTCCCACTTTTGTTCCAGGTACAATGACTGGGAGCCCATACACGAGTCATTTGGAAAATCTGATCAGATGTGTGCGCCTTTATGTAATATTTTATATAATTGTTTACTTCAGTCTGTGAAAAAAAAAATAATTAAAAAAAAAAAAAAGAGAGAAAAAAAATGCTGGGTATGTTTTTGAGGTTTCCTTTTACCCGTTTATGTGATCTGATAGACATTCTATCAAGTTGCTTTAAAGGACCACTCTAGGCACCCAGACCACTTCAGGTTAATGAAGTGGTCTGGATGCCAGGTCCCTCTAGGATTAACCCTTTTTTTTTTTTTTTTATAAACATAGTTTCAGAGAAACTACTATGTTTATGTTAGGGTTAATCCAGCCCTCAAATCCTCTAGTGGCTGTCTCATTGACAGCCGCTAGAGGCGCTTGCGTGCTTCTCACTGTGAAAATCACAGTGAGAAGACGCAAGCGTCCATAGGAAAGCATTATGAATGCTTTCCTATGAGACCGGCTGAATGCGCGCGCAGTTCCTGCCGCGCATGCGCATTCAGCCGAAGAGGAGGATCGGAAGCGGAGAGGAGGAGGAGAGCTCCCCGCCCGGCGCTGGAAAAAAGGTAAGTTTAACCCCTTTCCTTGCCATCCAGCCCGGCGGGAGGGGGACCCTGATGGTTGGGGCACCCTCAGGGCACTATAGTGCCAGGAAAATGAGTATGTTTTCCTGGCACTATAGTGGTCCTTTAAGCTTTTTATTTCATCAATGAACGGTTGTGAATGAAGTGTGTTTTTGTTTTTATTTTTATCTTTCTTGAAGAATGAAAGAATGACTTGAATTAGCCCTTATTACATGTATTTAATCTGTATTACATAACAAATATTTGATTGACACTCTGATTACAATAGTTTAATTTTGTGTTGACAAAGGCTTTCTAATTATTATTCACAATCCAGTGCATAATGAAAAACTACTATTGTGTATCACCTGCATGTTTCAAGTTGGACTTTATAAAGTACCCCTCAGAATTCTTTTTCCACAACTATCCCATAATTCCCAGCTGGACATGAAAATGAGCACAGACAGTTACTGTTTTTCAGACTTTATCCTGAATTTGTGCAGATACCCTTTGCATTGGGTGCTGTTTTAAACACAGACTTTATTTAGTGGTTTTGTTTTTTGTCACCAAAACAACTTTAGCTTAACAAAGCAGTTTTGGTGTATATATCATGCCACTACGGTCTCACTACTCCATTCTCCATTTAGTAGTTAAATCACTTTGTTAATACCAAGTCCTAGTCACACCTCCCTACATGTGTTGGCACAGCTTTCCTAAAAACTTCCCGTAGAGAAACATCTAATGTTTAAACTTCCTTTATCTAAAATTCTGTTTAGTTTACCATTTATCTCTTGCACTGTTCATAGCTTGCTAGACTTTGCATGAGCCTTCTGTATGTGATTAAAGTTCAGTTTACAGGAGCAGTAGATACTAACATCTGATTGAGTCACAGCCAGGGGATGTGTGGCAAGGTTTGCATTTACAGAAACAAAATTGATTTAAATTCTAAATTGCAGAGAATTGAGACTTCACTGGCATGATCTATATACCAAAACTGCTTAATTACGCTAAAGATCTATAGTGTCAACTTGAGATTTGCCGGATATGCACAATAGTAATTTGTAATGTGGGGAGTTTTATTGTGTTTGGTGTCCCCAAAATCTTTTTGGCACCTTGCTGTATGGTTTGAGAGAGATTTAAACTTTCAGAACAAAACTGGCGCCGTGCTGACAACCCAAGAGGTTGAAACGGTACAGTTCATGGTTGGTCCTTTTGGATTACAAACCAAAGCTGATAATTCTGGGATAGTTGTGGAACCACGATTTCTTGCGTTTGTGATCAAGGGGGACTTTTCAACTTGAGTTATGTAGGTAATGTACAGCAGGAAATTTTATAATAAGATGTCAGCCCAACTGCCATGTGTATTTTCAAGGTGTAGTGGGCCTCACAAGCTTCCAAACCCCTTACGAGCAATATATATCAATCATTTTAAGGACCACTCAAGGAAGTGGTCTGGGTTCAGTGGTTTTAACCCTGCAATCTAAAACACTGCCGTTAAGTAGGTTTTAAAGGAAAATAAAGGTGACTGCGCATAGATTGGTCAGAAATAACTCACAATAAGTGATGGTAGATGGAACCTGATATGAAACACGGAGAACCAACCTAGTGTAATCTGTAACAACTATGTATAATAAGAGAGTAACTTGGCACACTCACAAGTTTAAAAGCGGATTATAAGTGGGTTCTACACTATAAAGGCATATCAGCAATCCCAGGTGTAGACAAGGTACAGCACTTCAAGTATCCTTAAAAACATTTTTTACTCTTTAAGTAGGTATGGTAATGTTATAACTGCATGATTAAACACACATCTATTTGCTGTCTTCTTGACAGCCACAGATTGCTCTTCTGCTTAATAACGGTCATACTCTATTAAATCAGATGTTGCTCATAGAGAGTATTTGATTGGAACAGCGTGGCATGTTGCTGCCCACGCGCACTGGCCTCCCTATAGAGAAGCATTGGATTGGCTGGGAGAAGGTGAGACTGCGGCAAAACCAGAGCAGCAATGGAGCAAAAGTAAGTTTAAAAAGTACCTGTTAAACCACCACTTGGAGGGGTGAATAACTAATTACGAATATATGTTTGTATTCATAACACTATAGTGTTCCTTTAAGGCAGAAGTGCCAAAAAGGTAGATCCCCAGATGTTATTGAATTAAAACTCTCATGATGCTTTGCATTCCTATAGAATGACAAACCATCATGGAAGCTGTTTTAAAACATCTGGGGATCTACCTTTTTGGCACCCCTGCTTTAAGGTATAAAAGTGGTCACAATGCCGAAATGTGCATTGCTATTGCTGGAAAAATGATCCAGGCAGTACTAGACGGGGAGCAGTTAGATCTGTGACCTTAAAGGGACACTAGTCACCAGAACAACTACAGCTTATTGAATTTGTTCTGGTGAGTAGAATCATTACCTTTTGCTGTAAACACGGTCTTTTCGGAGGAAATGCAGTGTTTACATTACAGCCTAGTGATCAATTCACTGGCCACTTGTTAGATGGCTGTTAGAGACCCTTCCTGGGTGATGGCTGCCCACAATGCATCTAAACATTCAGTGTCTCCACCCTATGCATGCACACAGTGAACTTTCCTCATAGCGATGCATTGATTCAATTCATCTCTATGAGGAGATGCTGATTGGCCAGGGCTGTGCTTGAATTGTGCTGGCCCTGCCCCTGATCTGCCTCTTTGTCAGTCTCAACCAATCCTATGGGGAAGCATCGTGATTGGATCAGGCTACCACTTCTGCTGATGTCAGTGGGCAGTTTAAAAGGAAACCGGGACAAAGCCTGCAGCTTCAGGCTTGAATACAAGTAAGATTTTACTAGATTTAGGGAGGCATGAGGTGGCCAGGGGGGGTTAGATGGTGGTTTTAACACTATAGGATCAGGAATACATGTTTGTGTTCCTGACCCTATAGTGCTCCTTTAACATTCACAGAAACACTGTCACATATAAACAGTACTTGTAACATTGTATCTGCCTCACTCACCATGATCATGAGTGAGTAGGAGCCTTGATAGTAAAATAGTCTTCCTTTCAAAACTTCCAACTTTCAAACCCCCACCCCCTCCCCCACAATTTTAACAAGGAAACGAGAACATATCTGCTATTGAGCAGAGTGAGGCTCTGTCCTTGCCATTATCCACAATGTTCCTGTGTTATGCTTCTAAAAAATTACATTGAGAAACTTTTGGCTCTGAAACCATAAATAACTTA